ACATGAATAAAAAATAAAACAAAACATTGAAATGGAAATGTGTCTCAATGCATTGCACGAGTACCCTTCTAGCATAACATAATAATAGTTTAATCTCTATGGTGGAATGAAAAAAAAAATCTCTCATCATCCATCGAAGAGAATTATTTCTAAATTTGGAGTTTTCTTCTTGTTTTTTTATCTTAAAAAACAATATAGAAAATCTGTTGAAGGAAAGATAAAGAATAAAATCACAATTTTCTTTATTTTAAAAATGTGTCGAAAATGTCTGACACGTAATTCTATATTTTTACTGAAATTACATTTGACCAAAATTTTCATAATTTACACAACAAATAATCAAATTATTTTTTGAAGTATGTAATATTTGTATACGACAAATAGAACAAATAAACTCATACATCATTCTCACATTTGGTGAGGTTTGAACATTTGACCTCCTAGGATGCCAAAGACTCACATACCGTTAGGCCAAAGACCATTTAATACAAATAATCAGATTTCAATGATGAAAACTTCTATGCTCGTTAACGTTTACCCTCATGTTCTTCTGATGATACTCCTTTGGTTGTTGAGGTTTTTTCCAGCCTTTTTCCTCTTAGAGTCGATGTTTCTTGTTGAATCTCTTCATCAAAATCAATTGGATTACCCACCGTGTAAGTTTGAGAATGACATTCTCTTATATGGTGATCGATTTAATAAACCCTAAAAAATTTGCATCTTTACTCTCATTCGATCATGAGCGCCATAATTCCGCCCAAATGCGCCGTTGTTTTGGAACTATGTCGATTTTAGGATATAACATTTTTAATTTTACCCAATGAAATATGGCCACCACAGTCGGAAATTGATTTTGGTTTCGAAAAGATGAAGGAGAAATATCCAGGAACTGAAATCGGTGCTTAATGGAAGTCTCCCCGATGTTTTCTAAAACTACCTTCGTTCACTGTTGTTCACTATGAAGATATCACGTGTTCGTTTTAACCTTGTTACAGAAACGTCACTGATGTTTTTAATTCATATATTACACAAATTAATGGCTCAAATTGGTTCACATAGTTAACACCACATGTTTGGTTAATAACTGAAGGAGCCTTTAAAACATCAAAAAGTTACTGTAAAAACCAACTTGTATCTGTTATTTTATAGATGAAAGGACACATGTAAACACGCATAGTATATACAATGTTGTTTCATCGTCAAACAATATTTTACATATAAAAAAAACACAAGGATGTATTTATACATAAAAAACACAAAACATATAAAACAATATCAACAGTATGGTTTTAATTTATTTTACAGGTTTGATTTTCACATATACTATTTTACCTATGAAATAACACACGAAATTTATTTTCCTAGTTTAAGTTTTAACGGATTTCTATCAGAGCTGCTCATGGGTGGGATAACCTGTTAGACCCGGTCCATTTGGTCCGCTAGCAATACGGATTTCTATCAGAGCTGCTCATGGGCGAGCCAGGGTTTGTTCGTTAAAATTAACAGACAAACATGGGCAATATAAAATAAATATGGACAGGCCCGTTCAACCCGTTTATATTTTATAATTAAGATTTTTTTACCATTAATTATAATTATATTAGTATATTAAAATTAAATTATTAAAATTATAAGATGAAATTCTTTGGTTATTTTTGAGAACCCAAAAGGCTAAAGAGTTGTTTGTTTTTCATTTCTTTCTCTACTTGTTGAGATCCATGTGTCATTTAGTTGTTTAAAATTTTAATTGCAACGACGTTTTATATTTACTTCTTGGTTCCACGTTTGTTAATTAATTGCTAGTGATTAAGTTTATAAATTTATAAGAATTACATTTTTTAGGCCTGTTAGCCCGTGGATAAGCCCAACCCGTTTATAGGACGGACAATGACAAATTGTTAATCCTAAAAAGAGCTTAAATTTACAATATTAGACCCGTTGGACAAAAAAACAAGTTAGACCCAACTCAGATCCAACACAGGCCCGCAGATGATCACCTCTAGTTTCTATTTGTTTTATGGTCGAATTTAAAGGTGAAAAAGGAAAATATATTGTAAAAAGAAGGAAAATACGTAATGGCAAACATGTGAAATAATTCATGATTGAGGGGGATTTTAACAAGATGTTTGGAATGTATTGAAATCTAGCATAAATTTTCATATTACCCCTTGTATTTTACACTATAACCATAACTAGCCCACTATATATCGAAATAGAGAGATGGACAAATGGGAGCGGGACCGAGGACTATGTCGACCGGTCAAGACCCAAACGACAATTTCGCCTTCGGTTTCTAGAAGAAAAGCCCGATCATGAGAGATCTTTATTTAGATTGAATAAAAGTTAATCAAATACTCGAATAAGTTTGATTAAATAATAATTTTACAGATATCATTAAACAACGTCATAAAATTGGAAGAAAAACAGTTATTTGCAGGCCAAGGCTTTCCCCATGCTGAAGGACCCATTAAGAAAAAGGTTTCGATTTTTTAACTGATTAAGGATTGGTTATTTCATTCCAATTACCAGCCTTTGCTATTTGATGATCGACCTATTCTTTCCAGGATCGTGCATTGAGTCTCGCTTAATAATCTTTAATTAAAATAGTGACGATAAGCTGTCAATAATCTATCATCAAAGACTTTTACACTATAACATGTATCAATTTGAACTATCTAAAAGTAAACGTTTTGTACAAGCTAATCAGTATCGTCATAACACGGTTCTATTACGTTTTTGCCATGCTAACATTTCAGTTAAGTCGTCACCAATTCATCGATATAAGACCCATAAGAATATGCAAACACGAAATTATCACAAGAAGTAAATATTATTTTTATTGATGTCAAAATCAAGATTTTTTCTGTTTACCTATAATACAACTGTAAAACAAGGGCAAAATGGTAAAATCATGTGTTGTTTTTTTGTGGGTAACATGTTTTCTTACGTATTTCAGCTTATATTATCTTTTAAACTTTACTTGGTATTCTTGTTGAGGGTAAAAATGGAATTTTAAATATTTTTATTTTGGGCTTTTTTATAAGCTTGGGCCCACTTTCTTTCTTTCCTTCTTCTCGGTTCTCCATTTCTCTTTAATCCTGGATATAAAACGATCAGCCTTGGCGTTCACATCTGAGCCACGGGAAGATATTGGGCTGGGCCCAAATGAATCTCCACCGTCGATTATAGTTGACCGGAGATTATCACGATCTGGTGAACTAAAATCGGAACTACAGACGCTTCGTAGCTTAACATAATGCCCACGGAGTTCGAATTTCCTTGCCGGCAACCTGAACGGCGGTGGAGGGGGTGGGAATGGAATCGACGACGACTGTGAGCTGCTGGAAAGGAAATCGTCACGGTCATGGTAATTGCTTTCTTTTTTTGGTAGAGGCGGTTTGTGTGTGCTCGCCGGACGTCGGCGGAGATGTTCTGATTTCGTTTGCGACGGTAGAGTTGATGGTTGAACGGTGGATTGCGGTGGTGGCGTCTTCTGTATATCTCTCGGTTTCTGTCTGTCCGTTCTGTTTCTCTTCCTCTGATCATTCAATGAATCTATCGTCGGCGCAATTTCCTTCTTAGCCTCTCTTGCTTCCCGATTCGCCGGCGGAGGAATGTGGGAACCTTCCTGTAGCCTATTAATTTGGGTTGTAACTTGGACGGTTTGATCCAGCCCTACATTTCTGGAGGTTCTCTGCCTTCTTGACTCGCAGGAAACTGGTGGATCCGGAGCTCGAGCTGGTGGTGGTGGAGGAGGACGCACTCGTATCGGCGAATGACGTTCTACCATAATCTCCCGGACATTTCGGACGACTTCAATATTTCCCTCTACTCGAGAATACACTTTCCTTGCGTCATCCCGCCGTGAACGGTGGCGGATATCACCGGAGACTGGTTCCGATCGGTGGATGTTCTTCTTTTCCCCTTCTATCTKCCGYGAATGGTTATTATCACCGTTTTCCCGTAATGGTTTCTGCCTCAAATTGGGRTGCGAGCTGCTGCTGCTGCTTCTTCTTCTCAAATCACCATTAACCTGCACCTTCCGATTCCGATTCCGATTAGTTTCCTGGGCACGACTATTTACTCGATTGGTGACGTTTGGTGAGGACGGTACGTCGTTTCTCTGAGCAAAAACACCGGCGAGAATGGCAAATAAGAACATGACAAATCCCATTTTTCACCGGGTGGAAATCGTCCGGCAAATGAAAACCACACTACATATTTGTAGTGTTTAAATTTGCATATTTGTAGTGTTCAATTCGAGACGGCAAAAGTGGCCCCCACCACCAATTCAATTATTTATGGATCGGCTTTGTCCTTCTAATTACCAGACTTTGCTCTTTGATGATTGGTTTAGATTTTTCAGAATCGGATGTTATGATCGATCGTTGTGCATATCTGATCGAGACTCCCTAATGATATATAAAATCACTAAAATCATGATGATAAGTTGTTGATAATCTATCACCAAAGACTTTTAAAAAGCCTCACGATTGCGCAACCTACTTATAAAAGATGAACGGCTCTTTGTGGGTCCGTTTGTTTTTAATACGTATAAAGTGTCATCTAGATTGGATATCATATGATCAAAAATACTGAGAACAAAGTGAATAAGAATTCCCCACTTCAAAAGTGTGATAGGGTTTTGTAGGTCCACACTTTGTTATAATATAGTCTTAAGATTGATCATTCGATATCAGGGACGGACCTATAGTGGTGCATACGGTGGCACATGCCACTGTATTATTCCTCTGTCGAATGTAAAAAAAATTAGGTTCGTGAAATGTGCAACTGTATTAATTTGTCGTGTGTCACCTTATGTATTTTGAAACTATAATGAGAACAAGTTTTATTTGGTATCGTTGATTTGCAGAACTTTTATTCCACCCAAGACCCAAGTTCGAATCCTGTCAGTGTCATTTTCTTAATCAAATGGTGTCACATTTGAAAAAAAAATTATATATTTTTTTCTCTTATAGTCAAATGATGCCACCGTTTGAAAAAAAATTCGGGTCTGTTCCTGTTCAGTATTTGAAAGTAACTATCTATTTGATCATAGTATATTCTAAACCAGTTATAGTCTTTATTAATCTGAAGTATCTAAAAATAAACGTTTCGTACAAATTAACCAGTCTCATAATGACATGGTTCTTTTACGTTTTTACCCTTTTACATTGATGCTAAAATTCGGTTCAGTCATCACCAATTCATCGATATAAGATTCGTAAAGATATGCAAACACAAAATATCACAAAATGTAAATATCGTTGTGATTGATATCAGAATCAAGACTTTCGCTTTTACATACAATACAACTGCAAAACAGGGGCAAAATAGTAAAATCACATTTCAAATTAATTTGTTTTTTTTTTGGTTAACATGTCTTTACTTTTCTCTTCAATTTCAGCCTATGTTATGGACTTGGTTTCTACTTCTTGTTTTTTTACTTGGCATCCTTGTTAAAGGTAAAATTGGAATTTCACATTATTTTGGGCTTGTTTATGAGCTTGGGTCTACTTTCTTTTGGGTTCTCCCTTCGTTTTTATGTCTGGATATGAAACGATCAGCCTTCGCATTCACGTCTGGGTTCATTTGTGTTCAAATTGTGTTCACAGTTCATTTGTATTCAAATTGATCAATACCGAAAATTGTTACTACCGTATTTTTTTATGCGATTTAGGAATTTATACAAGAATGAACATGGAAGATCAATAGTAAAAAAAATTTAATAATAATATGAATGCATATTTTTTGGGATTTGATTGTTTGTAACTCCCCATTAATTGTTTGAGTGTTACAAATGAATTCAATTTACTAGAATACCCTTGATAAGCGTATTTTTTCTTTCCAAAATGCCCCTTTCATCATTGTTCACTAGGCCTCATTAAAATTCAAACTTTAATTTTTTTTTTTACTGATTATAGATTTGGATGGCCAAGATCAGTTAATAAGGTTAACACAAAAATGATGGTTAGCATTTGATCTTGGCCATATGTGTGTGTGTGTATATATATATATATATATATATATATATATATACCTTATGTTACACAACCATGTAAATAATAGAAAACGGATATAAACTGCATACAAGTGTCAAAGAGGATTACTTTCTAAGAAAATAATTGTTAGTTTGACCAGACAAACTACGTGGAAAAAACGACCCTTCTTTTTCTCTATACCACATTTTTGGGGTAGGTCTAATGACTACTTTCAAACTTATAAAAATACATTTGGTATGAGGAATATCGGAATCTTGCGAGAAAAGTCATAGTGTCGACATCCATTCCTCAAGTATGCTAGAACGATATAATAACATCATATACAGTTTTTTTCAGTATGCTTTTTTCGTTTTGAACTTCGTGAAATTGAACATTTTTTAATTGTAATTTTATAATATACGTCATCGTAATACATGTCGATCGACAAAAAAAGTATTTTAAAAAAAAAAGAGGAAAAGATAATATTATCAGTTTTTTAGTAATTTGTAATTTATATATAACCGTTACGTGTTATATGTGGATAAATGTCTCCAGTAGGATTTCTGTAATTTTTTTAAAATAGAGAACTAAAAGTCAAATCTTTAGACAAAAGTTACATTCAACTCTATCAGGTCGTCTATTTTAGAGATTTGAACATTAATTGTATTATTAAAATATTATATCATTTTATCATCTTAATATACATTAAGAAAAAACTTTATACAAAATAATAATAGTTTAGGGACGTTCTAAACGCTTACCCGGTAAGTGTTTACCGGGTAATTTTTCTCACCGCATGAACATGGCAAAGGCCAAAAATCTTACCCGATAAGAGCGATGATAAGGATGGAGAGTCTTACCCGGTAAGTGAGGGTGACGACTCTTACCCAGGTAAACATTTACCAAGTAAATTTTTGTATAACATACGTTTTGATGTATTACAATCTTACCCAATAAAATAAATTATAGTGTTGACTCCTAACATTAAGCATTTACCGGATAAGCATTTAGGTAAACGGCCCCTTAATCTCAATGGTGGAATGAATAAAAAAATCATTTCTAAATTTGGAGTTTTCTTCTTGTTTTTTTATCTTAAAAAACAATATAGAAAATCTGTTGAAGGAAAGATAAAGAATAAAATCACAATTTTCTTTATTTTAAAAATGTGTCGAAAATGTCTGACACGTAATTCTATATTTTTACTGAAATTACATTTGACCAAAATTTTCATAATTTACACAACAAATAATCAGATTCTTTTTTGAAGTATGCAATATTTATATACAACAAATAGAACAAATAAACTCACACATCATCTTCATCTTTGGTGAGATTTGAACCTTTGACTTCCTAGGAAACCAAAGACTCACATACCGTTAGATCAAAGGCCCTTTAATGTAATAATCAGATTTCAATGATGAAAACTTCTATACTCGTTAACGTTTACGTTTATGTTCTTCTGATGATACTCCTTTGGTTGTTGAGGTTCTTTCCAGCCTTTTTTCCTCTTCAGTCGATGTTACTTGTTGAATTTCTTCATCAAAATCAATTGGATTACCCATCGTGTAAGTTTGAGACTGATATTTTGTTATATGGTGATCGATTTAATAAACCCTAAAAAATTTGCATCTTTACTCTCATTCGATCATGAGCGCCATATTTCCACCGAAATGCGCCATTGTTTTGGAACTATGTCGATTTTAGGATATGATAATTTTTATTTTACCCAATGAAATATGGCCACCACAGTCGGAAGTTGATTTTGGTTTCGAAAAGATGAAGAGAAATCTCCAGGAACTGAAATCGGTGCTTAATGGAAGTCTCCCCAATCTTTTCTAAAACTACCTTCGTTCACTGTGAGATATCACGTGTTTGTTCTAAGCTTATTACAAAAACGTCACTGATGTTTTTAATCCATATATTACACAAATTAAAGGCTCAAATTAGTTCACATAGTTAACACCAAATGTTTGGTTAACAACTGAAGAAGCCTTTAAAACATCAAAAAGTTAGAAATTTGTTTTCCCAATTTAAGTTTTAACATATTTCTATTAGAGCTGGTCATGGGTGAGATGACCCATTAGACCCGGTATATTCGGCCCGCTAGCAATATGGGTTTGGACAACCATAATCGAGAAAATGGACGGGTCCAGGTTTGTTCGTTAAATTAACGGACGGACATGGACAATATAAAAATAAATACGAACATGCCCGTCCAACCCATTTATATTTTATAATTAATATTTTTATTACCATTAATTAAAATTATATTAGTATATTAAAATTAAATTATTAAAGTTATAGAATGAGATTCTTTGGTTATTCTTGAGAACTCAAAAGGCTAAGAGGTTATTTGTTTTTCATTTTTTTATCTACTTGTTGAGATCCACATGTCATTTTAGTTGCTTAAAATTTTAATTGCAACGATGTTTTATCTTTACTTCTTGGTTCCACGTTTGTTAATTAATTGCTAGTGATTAAGTTTATAGATTTATAAGAATTACATTTTTTAGGCCTGTTAGCTCGTGGACAAGCCCAACCCGTTTATAGGGCGGACAATAAGAAGTTGTTAAGCTAAAAAAGGCTTGAATTTATAATATTAGACCCGTTAGACAAAAAAAATAAGTTACACCCGGCTCAAATCCAGCACAGGCCCGCAAATGATACCTCTAGTTTCTATTTGGTTTATGGTAGAATTAAAAGGTGAAAAAGGAAAATATATTGTAAAAAGAAGGAAAATACGTAATGGCAAACATGTAAAATAATTCATGATTGAGGGGAATTTTAACAAGATGTTTGGAATGTATTCATAATTTTCCATATTACCCCTTGTAATTGATAAATTGACATAATAACCAGAATTCGAAACATAGAGACGGACAAATGGGGGAGGGGGAGCGGGACCGAGGACTAGTCGACCGGTCAAGACCCAAACGACAGAATGAATCTCCACCGTCGATTATAAGCTTCGGCCCACTTTCTTTCTTTCCTTCTTTTCGGTTCTCCATTTCTCTTTAATCCTGAATATCAATCGATCAGCCTTGGCGTTCACATCTGAGCTACGGGAAGATATTGGGCCGGGCCCAAATGAATCTCCACCGTCGATTTTAGTTGGCCGGAGATCATCACGACCTGGTGAACTAAAATCGGAACTACAGACGCTCAGTAGCTTAGCATAATTCCCATGGAGTTCGAATCTCCTTGCCGGCAACCTGAACGGCGGTGGAGGGGGTGGTAATAGAATCGACGACGACTGTGAGCTGCTGGAAAGGAAATCGTCACGGTCATGGGGATTGTTTGCTTTTTTTGGTAGAGGCGGTTTGTGTGTGCTCGCCGGACGTCGGCGGAGATGTTCTGATTTCGTTTGCGACGGTTGAGTTGAAGGTTGAACGGTGGACTGAGGTGGTGGCGTCTTCTGTATATCTCTCGATTTCTGTCTGTCCGTTCTGTTTCTCTTCYTCTGATCATTCAATGAATCTATCGTCGGCGCAATTTCCTTAGCCTCTCTTGCTTCCCAATTCGCCGGCGGAGGAATGTGGGAACCTTCGTGTAGCCTATGAATTTGGGCGGTTTGATCCAGCCCTACATTTCTGGAGGTTTTCCGCCTTCTTGACTCGCCGGAAACTGGTGGATCCTGAGCTCGAGCTGGTGGTGGTGGAGGACGCGCTGGTATCTTCGAGACATTTCGAACGACTTCATTATTTCCCTCTACTCGAGAATGCACTTTCCTTGCGTCATTCCGCCGTGAATGGTGGCGGATATCACCGGAGACTGGTTCCGATCGGTGAATTTTCTTCTTTTCCCCTTCTATCTTCCGTGAATGGTTATTATCACCGTTTTCCCGAGATGGTTTCTGCCTCAAATTGGGGTGCGAGCTGCGGCTGCTGCTTCTTCTTCTCAAATCACCATTAACCCGCACCTTCCGATTCCGATTCCTTTCCGGCACACGACTGTCTACTCGATTGGTACGTCTTTTCTCAGAGAAAAAAACACCGGCGAGAATCGCAAATAAGAGCCTGCCAAATCCCATTTCTTACCGGTGGAAATCGTCTGGCAAATGAAAACCACATTACATATTTGTAGTGTTCAATTCGAGTCGGCAAAAGTGGCCCCCACCACCAATTCAATTATTTTTAGCTTTCTACCAAATCTATTTTATAACTTTATAAATAATTATCAAACAATTATATTTTATTTTATATTATATCATATCATGAGAGCCTTTTAATTATTTTGTATCAAATTATTTAGCAATTATCAAAACAATCCTTTAGACATCGACAAACAACAGAAAAGGGATATCAAATTCTATGAGTTTTACATACGATACAAGTGCAAAACAAGAACAAAACAGTAATATCACATCTCAAATCGATTTGCTTTTTTTGTGGGTAACAGTAATTGGTATGGGGTAAAAGTGGAATTTCACATAGTTAAATTGCTTGATTTTGGGGCTGGACCCATTTTCTTTATTTTTGGGTTCTCCATTCATATTTATGTCTGGATATGAAACTATCAGCCTTCGCGTTGACGTCTGGACTATGAGAAGATATCAGGCTAGGCCCAAATGAATCTCCACCGTCGATTTTAGTTGACCGGAGATCATCATTATCTGGTGATGAACTGAAATCGGAACTATGGACGCTCCGTTGCCTAACATAATTGTCACGGAATTCGAATATCATTGTCGGCAACCTGAACGGTGGTCGAGGGGGTGGGATTGGATTCCACGGCGACTGTGAGGCGTTGGAAAGGAAATCGTCACAGTCATGGGGATTGCTTGATCGGAAGCAGGAAAGAGAGAGACAGAGGAGAGATAAAAATTAAATCCCTAAAATGTCTTTGAACAAAAATTTTAAGTCAAATTACCAAAAATACTAGTTTCCTAATTTATCTATTTATTTATGGTTGATATTGAATCTCACAGTTATCATAAACTAATCAGTTATATCTTAAATGAACCCTTATATGTACATATGTATGTATAGAGGCTAAACATGACAACTTATAGACTTGAAGGACAACAAATTGGCCTCTAACAACGTGGAAAGTGAAGAGAAAACAATTCGAATGTAAACGTATGCAATGACATGAATAGATTCAACTTTTTATATGAGGTAGAGTATACACCATCAGTACACTTGTAAGTGGACTAGTTTTTTAAATAAGTAGGGTATTACCATACCAAGTTGACTTTATGGACCCCATATATATATATATATATATATATATATATAAAGAGAGAGATGTTGGTTATTATACAATCCATGACATTTGTGCACCAATACAACCCAATTTCAACCGTCCATTTCATTTGATTAATATGTGATTTCATAGAAGATTTGATTGTTTCATAATATAAAGTATTAATCATAATTAATGAACCATACTTCTCTTCCATAAATATTCAAATCATAATAAATGAAATATCATCATTTCCATAAATATCTCAATTTATTGGGTTGCATTGGTTGTACAAATGCAACAGATTGTATTTGAAACAAATTATTTAATAGTTATCAAATTCGGTTTCTTTAATTATCAAGAATTCGGTTTCCTTAATTATCTCAACAAAATTGTATCACAGTCGTGTATCACATTGTGGTAGTGTGTGGCCTAAAACTCAGATCACATCTATTATCAACTCATGATCAAAACGTTATCACAGTGGTATCACACTGTGTGACACAATTGGTTGTGTCAACCAGTTGTAAATTCTTGGGTATCACAGCGTGTATCATATTTGTTTTGTGTTTTACTGTTAGAAATTCTTGATCGGAGGGAGGAGAGATCTAAAAAGACTAATTTACCCAAATTATTTGAAAATTAATGAATAATTATCAAAATTAATATGTTTAATAACAACCATTGATTATTAAATTCATGTAACTAACTCCAGATAAACATAATCAAATATAAGATAAGCATTTATTTTAAATATATAAAATCTAAAATATAATTAAGATAATCACTGAGTTNTCAGAAAATGCATACTATTTGGTACAAAGTTTACAAGTTGAAATGTATGATGTGCAATGATCTTTACTCACGCAAACCATGAACTCACTGAGCTTCATAAGCTGACTATAGTATGCATCTCATGGACAAAAGGTTTCAGGTTGGACAAAGAAAAAGGAGGGCATACATAAAGACTTGTCTAGTCCATTTAAGTTCAATATTTAGGCGCAATCGTCTATGATATATAAATTTGTAAAGCAACCCGGTATGGGACGGGCTGACATTAAGTCATATTTATTCTTTTAAAGTCTTACGCTGTAAATGGTCTAAAGTTTTAATTTAACCATTATTTTTGGAGTACTTTTGGAGAATCTGTTTTAGATTACATAACATCTCACATGGTAAAAATGTGGGTGTTACAAGTTGGTATCAGAGCCGTAGTTCAAGGGAAATAGGTTATGATCTATAGCCTAAGCTTGAACTGTTAGTTGTAAGAATGATRYCTTGGGTTTAGATATGAATCAATATCAGTATCACAAAGATCAGTATTAGCATAACCTATGCTAGATGCAACATTACTCAATGTAAGTATAGTATGACATTATGCTACAATGCAGTAAGTTTAAGTATAGTTAGAATTGATCTAATTTCTTTCTCTTAGAGATGATTAGTATTAAAAAAAAAACGCAAGTGAGGTACTCAGAAGTAAGCATGTTGAGAGTATGTAAGAACAATAGTATGGGATTAGGCCCGAAGGTTAAACATATAAATGTTTAGATTTAGMAACATCAAGGAAAATCTTACTTCAATAGCACTCGTAGTTCTAGTCAGAACTTAAGTTGTTTCATATATCTATTTGTAATTAACACCCGTTAGCTTTCAAATATGCATGTTAAATTGGGTATGTATGTGAAGGGTCATGTACCGAATACCGGTGGCTTAGGCAAGGCATTGTAAAAACGCATAAATGGTATGTGCCGCGAGGGTTCCTCTGTACACATGAATATTCAGTTTAGTTAAGTAACTTGCACATTCTATTGTCAATGTGCATGAATGGCACAGATAGATAGACGACCCCCCACACTACACCAAGAGAGTTAAAGATCTCGAAAGTATATATGCTTGTATATTGTTTAAATACAAATTTCTCAGAGTTTTTAGACAATAGATTTATTATTTCAGATCAACTTAAATGTTACATATTTTGAAGTAACATTTGTCCATATAACTTTAATTTAAAATCATGGGCTTTTAGTAACGCCATATGGGTTGAGAAAYASRACAATAACGTTATGGACCTAGTGAGCATATTGTGTGGACCATGCTTAAAGAAGTCATTATGGTTGTTAGTGGTAGTGGACTCACTTATTTGATAAATAAATCTAAGCATGTATAATAACAAAAATTGATCCCGCAACCGTTGAAGAAGAGAATCTACAAGAAAAAGAAAACTTAGTGAATTGTAGAGCAAAGTTTCAGTTTTCTTAGTCACATAGTTGATAAGAAGGACATCTAAGTAAAAGCCAATAAACTTAGAGTTCATGTCAGATTTAAAGCAACCAAGATTAGTAACCAGGATAGGTGTTTATTTGGGTTACTAAACTATTGTCGAGGATTCATTATGAGTTCCATAAGTTGCATATTTTAATGTCAGCATTCACCTAGACAACACAGCGAGTTGGATTGAGGCTAGAAGGAATAAGTATTTCAGTTACTGGAAGCAAAGGTAAAGTTATAGAATTTTTTTTTGATGGTTGTCAGAAGTACTAGAAAACATTGTGGCTTTCAGTGATAACTTGAAGTTCGAAGTAGACTTAGTATTGATGCAACGAGGCAAGTTTGTCSCTTACAYGTTAARTCAAYTRTATGGACATGAGAATGTTATTCCGACARATGRTTGGGAGTTARTAGCATGGTAATTGCATGTAAGTTTCATAAATATTACCACCATGGCTCAAAGTTTATTTTGTACATATATCACAATAGTTACAAACCCACGTTTAATTATAAATGGGAAACTTTGGCTAGAGATTTTGTTTAGCTTTATTAAATAATTATGATGGTGAGATTCATTATCGTCCAAGCAAAGAAAGATAAGAATTGATCAAATTACGAATTGTAAGGATAGATATCAGATTGAGTTTAAAAGATAAAACTCAAACAATATGGTAAGAAACTCTTTGATCAGAGAGTGCTAAGAAAKAAATAATGATTTACCACCTTGAGTTGCTATCCGTAAAGTCAGATGAAATCTTGTAACTTTTGGAGCAACATTGGTTTGAGATCTTTCTAGTGAGGTAAGTGATGCAACATGTGTTCCCTACCATATAGAGAGATGGCAAGRCAAGGTAGAGCATGTACTATAAGTTATGATGCWATACCTCAACAATATTTAGTATGAATGTTATTTAAGCATTAACGTTTTAGGCAACTATCAGTGTATCCATCAAGTATGCATCAGAGTATCAGTAAGGACATTAKCATTGTGTATCATGTTCGATAAAGTATCATGAGTAGTGCTTACCTATCGTCCATCATGTTTGATGAATACTTCCAACAATGTTCAKTTATGGAATGATATATTCAGTAATTTCATTTTCAACCATGAAAGTTATGTCTGCATAACTTCTGCATTAGATGCAAGAAAGTGCAATAGTCACATATGTTACCAGTATAAGATAAATAACAACATGAGTATAATAGAAATGCATAGTATATGTAAAGTTATGCTAATGAGAGATTTCAAATCAGGGACAGATGGATGTTAAAGACATCACTTTAGGAGGGCATGATCGTATTATGGTAAGTAAAGTAAATAAGGTCCAAAGTATTTTGGACAAAAGAGTTAGTGTAAGAACTCATAGAAGTAATCAACCAAGTTGGCCAACATAGTTACAAAGTGATCAATCGATATTTTATGTCGAAATCGAGGAAGTTTTAGCTGATAAGTCATCTGTCATAAGTTTTGGCAAAGTGTCGAAGTCATCAACAAACTCAGTTATGCAAAAGACATTGTTGATGTATTGGCCAGGAAACGCAAGATCGAGGAACAAGACTACATCTTTGGAACTG